CCATGGGCAGATCTTTTCTGAGCCAAGTTCCAAACAAAAACTTTTTGAAATCCATAGTACCAAACCCAATGCTCAAGACATAAGGATCCATGGGCAGATCTTTTCTGAGCCAAGTTCCAAACAAAAACTTTTTGAAATCCGTAGTACCAAATCCAATGCTCAAGACATTACCTAGCATCCAGAAAAGAAATTTAAAAAGCAACACCATGGGGATGTTTCTGAAGTATTTGCCTGATACAAAATCTGGCTGTCAAGGACACTTTTATGGTAGAAATGTATCAGAGGATGTTTATAAAAATACAGAGAATTTTTGAGGCTTCTCAATAGACATGCCTTTCTTAAATGAGAAATATAAAATTGTCCAAATTTTCATATCCTGAAAGGGTAGTTTTAAACACAAAACCATGAGGAAACAGGATGCTTTTAGTTACTAAATTTTATCAAGACTACAAATACGACATTTAGGACAAAGTTCAGTAAAGGGAGTTGACCAAGAGTGAAATGAAGTCATTGGAAGATCTCCCACTGACCAGAAGGAGATGGTATGAGAAAAAAAGGTCTTCTTGACGTTCCTAAGTACACCAAGCATGACAACAAGAATGGGAAATGCATAATCCCGTAATATTTCTGAATTTTCAGAGGGATGTCATGTTCTGTGTAAATCTCAATCATGGCAGACAATCTGCAATTACCAGTTCAGAAAGAGTTGTGCAAGATTGTCTTTGTTTTCTTTTGGAGCAGTGAGAACATTACTCACAATGTTGACAATTAATGTTGTCCCAGCATTATCTCCTCTGTCCTTAAAAACGTGGGCAGTCTTTGAATTTGTCACCAGTTATATCAAAATAATACTTTGGTATGTGAAGTGCAACCCTGCTCTGATGGCAAATCCATCCTAGAGCACCCACTTTTCTTCCCAATCAGGATTCCTTGGCAGGGATGTGAAGAAGCTCCAGGCCTTCAGAACTTCTTCTTAATGTTCTACATTTTTCAACCAATCTTCCTATAAAACCTTAATATAAGAGGCATATCCAGCCCAACACACAAAGGGTTTGACTGCTCTTCAGATGATTTCACTCTTGACATAACTACAAATGTCTCATAATTGCTCAGTTGAGTGACTAACAGAAGGAAGTCCATTTTTATTTCATGGCATAGTGATTGATTTTCAGCAGCTGTGCAAATAAATGTCATTAACTAGTTTTCCGTAAAGAACTATTTTTTGGTAATTTTTCTTGCCATTCAAATATTTCCTGTATTTGTTGCACTATGAAATTCAATATGTGAGGCTGTTTAATTTATTAATAAAATAGCAAAAAAAAATTGAGACTACTATTGTTTATAGAATTAGTTCCTTATCTCTGCTTGTGAGACTTTCTATATTTCATGGGATTATTTTACAGATATAAAACATATTTTCTGTAAAGATTTTGGGAACTTTTTCAACTTTGAAGTAGCTTAATGGAAATCCAGAAAAACAGCTTAGAGAAAGTTGAAGTACAGGAGTAGGTGTTGAAAGGAGACAAGAAGTTATTTGAAGGCTTGAAAAATGTCTTGCAGTGAAAAACTTAAATTAGAATTGGCTAGAAATGCTTTGATGCAATGTTTTTCAGCTGATAGTATCTATTCATCAAATTGAAGCTCTGCTGGAAGGGATCAATTTTCATATTTCTGGTTTTGAAATGTTTCCAGCAGTTTCAAAGTTGTTAAAACATCCTCCTTCAACATTTTCCAAATGGAAAAAAAACCCTATAATTTTCAGTTCTAAAAGTCTTCCTCTCAAAATATAACCTAATTATGCCAACTGTCCCTAAACTGAGCTGGCAATATTGCAAATCACCCAAAATTGATTTTATTTTTTGTTTTCTTCTCTTTTTTTTTCTTAATTTTTATTTATTTCTGACAGACCATCAACATTTTCAAGAGTTCCACTTTTTGTCACTCCTTGAGAATCGAAAAAAAATTTGGCCAGGTTGCCTGACAATTAGTCTGGTTCAATCTATTAAAGAAAGTTCTTCAGTGAGGCCTACCTCTGTGTGGATATATTAAATTTGCTTTTGACTGTACATTGGGTTTGCCTGGCCAGGTTTTGGTAGCAGGAGGGGAGTTTCTGTGAGAAGCTTCTGGAAGCTTCCCCTACATCCAACAGAACCAAGGCCAGCTGGCTCCAGGATGGCCGAGGTTGAGCCCCCCAGACACAGGGGTTGCAGGAAAATGTTTTTCAGAGGGGAGAAAAAAAAATCTACTGTGTATCAGCAGCTGGAGGAGGGGAGTGAGAATTTGTGAGGAAAAACTCTGCAGACACCAAGGTCTGTGAAGAAGGAGGAGAGGAGGAGCTCCAGGTGTGAGAGTGAGGTGCCTCCCACTGTTGCAGCCCATCCCAATCCCAAAGCAGGTGAATTCCCAAAGGAGGCCATGACCCTTTGAGGAGCCCATCCTGTAGAAGGCTCCTGGCAGGATCTGTGGGCCTGTGGAAAGAGAGAGGATCCCTCACTGGAGCAGGTTTGCTGGCAAGACTCCTGACCCTGCAGTGGGCTTGTGCTGGAGCAGTGTGGTCCCAAGGGTCTGCTCCCAACAGCAGGGAGACCCCGGAGCAGTGCGTGAGGATTCCCACTGTGTGCAGGACTGGCTCCTGTGTCACACACTGCAGGAGAGCAGCAGGGCAAGGGTGTAGGAGCCCTGCAGAGGATGGAGCAGCAGAGAGAGTGTGTGATGAATGGATGCAGCCTCATTGCCTGTCCCCCTGTGCTGCTGCAGGGGGCAGGCAGAGAAAGCAGGAGTGAAGCTGAGCCCCAGAAGAAGGGAGGAGTGCAGGAAAGCGGTTTATGGCTTGGTTTTATTAGTCACCATTGATTTGATTGGTAATAAATTTATTTCCCCAAGTTAAGTCTGTTTTGCCCATGGCAGTAACTGCTGAGTGATCTCTCCCTGTCCTTATCTTGACACACAAACTTTTTTGTTACATTTTTTCCCCTGTCCATCTGAGGAGGGGGCTGACAGAGCAGCTTTGATGGGCCTCTGGCATCTGTCAATCAACCCACTACAGATCATTCCCTATAACTGAGATCATGCAAGAGCTTCTCTCCTTGATATTAATGTCTGTCATCTGCTGAAACCACTAAAAATGGTAATTTACCTATTGTAATTCCTGATCCATGGCTACTTGATATTAATGTCTGTCATCTGCTGAAACAGAAGGGCACATCCAAACCACCCACTAAAAATGGTAATTTACATTGTAATTCCTGATCCATGGCTATGAATTGGCTGGAAGGGTATGATCTCCAGACTAGAACATTTTCTATACATTTTTGCTTTTCTCACACATTTTCATGAGGAGTGGTCTGTAAGTTTGGTGTTTGTTACTGAGAGATGCATCTGGATATTATATATTAATAAAGAAAACATTTCCAAATGTTCACCTTCAGCTTTCCATCTTCATCATTCTGCTTCATCTTTCTGCTTCAATTCTCATAAGCACTAGTGAGGTACATACTGTTTCATGGAGCTAATCAATACCTTTTTGCTCATGTATCCATAAAAATATGCTCAAACTCTCTTTGCACTTTTCTAGTGATTCAGTTTAGTAGCCTGTAGCCTGGAGTTATGGATACAAAGTATTAGCTGTTAAACTGTCAAAACTTGTTGCAACAATAAGTGGCAGCCATTATTTGAGAAATATTTAAGCAGGGCTTAGTGAAAAATTTTAAGGGATATAAAAGGCTGTTTTGAACAGGAAAGGGATTTTTTGGTTATAATATTACAGGATACTGGAAAAATCAAATGTAAGCATGTCACATAGAATAAAACTCCTAATTAGGGCTCAACTGGCAGTCCTGGTGATCCACCATCTCATAAAATTCCTGTGTGTCCATGGAATTTTGTTGCTGTGAAATCTGTTCTCCTATCTCTGGCCAGGCTATTGGATATTCTAAGCAGTTTTGGCAGTAAAAGTCAAACACGGGGCAGCCAGAGTGGCTCAGTGTACAGCATGATCTCTGTACAGCTCGGGGCATTTCACTGTGTTCTCTGAAGCCAGCTGCATTTTCACAGCAGAATTTTAGATACTGATATATCTGTGCTATCTTGGTCTGACACAGCCTTAGTCCAGAGCTGATGATTTAACCACAGAAATCTCTTATTTGTGACAGACTTTATCTTGTTCCTATTTACGCCTAAATGTTAAGGTTTAAAATGTTTCTGAAGCAGTTGGCACACAGAGTCAGAAGTTTGGTAAATCTCAAAAAAATTTGTACATCAGCCTAGCAGTTTAGATTTAATCTATCTTCATGTGTACTGATAGAAAATGTCGACTGTGGCTTAACTTTTCTATCAATGTGTTCTTGATGTTCTAAATATATGTTCTAAAGAACTAAGCATCAACAACCTCTGACCGTAATTAAAGTTGTTGTTGTTTTCAGCATCTGTGTCCTCCATCTGAAGCCAGTAAGCAAAGGCATGTGTACATTACCCATAAGGAGAAGACTGTCTATATAGGTTCTTGTTTTCAAAATTAGAAATCTAGATTTGGGAACAGAATTCTCATGTGTTTGCTTTAAATCTCAATGAGGATATTGGTTGTTTGACTATAATAACTTTGCTTTAGCAAACTAGGTCAATGTTTCTCACATCTACTGATCTCAACATCTTTAGCCAACAATGGCTGGGAGATTTTGGAATTGTTTCCTTACTTCCTGAGATGGAAAATTCCTAAAGTTGTCTTAGGAGTATGTGGTGAGTGGTACACATACTGGCCCTTGGCCTGAGCAACTAGAGGAATGTTTGTGAAGCAGATATTAGAAAATAACAACATCTTAAAGGTACAGGCTTGGATATCAAAAAGAAAAAGAAAAAAAAACCTCACAACCTTTAATAGGACTTTAAAGCTCTACACAGACATAATAATAAAAATGATTTTATCTCCTTGCCTGTGTCATTTTTAATTTTTTTTTTCTCTGCTTGTTTGTCTGTCACAATGCTTTTTGTTTCCAATTCCTTAGATGTCTCAGTCAGTCTCTTAGCAGTTGTCGTCAGCTTCTGCGGGCTCGCCTTGCTGGTGGTCTCGCTTTTTGTCTTTTGGAAGTTGTGCTGGCCCTGCTGGAGGAGCAAACCTCTCACCTCCAGCGCCAGTAATGTCCCGCAGAGCAGCTCCAGCGCTCCCACGGAGGTTTTGGAGAACAGCGAGAAAAAGGAAGTTAAAGAAAATGGGAAACCTACAACCAAGGTGCTTGAAGCTGCGCTGAAAATCAGCCACACTTCACCTGATATACCAGCAGAGGTGCAGAACGCACTGAAGGAGCACCTGATCAGACATGCTCGGATGCAGAGGCAGATCACGGAGCCCACGTCCTCATCAAGGTAGGTCAGAGGCACTCGCACTTGCGGCACCTTTCCCAAGAACAAGTAGAGCAGGAACGCTGCTGAAAATTTCCAGGATCCTGGATTATTCACAGGTTATTTAGAAGTTATGGGTAAAACATCAGTCATGTGAATGTGAAGCCACATTGCTCTTTGGACAGAATATTCTGGAACATTTAGCGTACCTTCAGTTACATAATCATTTTAACATATGAAAGTGAAATCTACATCTTCTACTACTTTGTAAAGATAACTATTGCCGCTTTAAGCGTTTCCCTTTTGGGTTTTGATTACAGGAAAACATATTTCATTGTTTTTTTAAAGACCTGCAAGTCTAGATTTTCACAGAGATGTTTTTTATAGATATATCAGTTGTTTTTGCAGATGAAAGTTTCCCTTTCAACCAAATAAATGATAGATTCATTATTGATGGCACACTGAAGACTTGGTTTGCTGATTATGAAGGAATTAAAACTCCAGTCAAAAAATACAGATCCTTATGGACTGATCTTAAAGCTGTACAGATTACATATAGGTCTATAAATAAATGAAAAGCAGCATTCCATAGTGGTTTCTTTAGTATTGAAGCGGAAGACACAAATTTTTATTTTGCGTTAGTTGCCACTTTATATTGAAAAGCACTGAAGATGTGCAGGGACCTATAGGTTCAAATAGGATTTTCTTCAAACACTGTCAATAAATTTAATGCATGGAAACAAACAATGAACTGCAAAGATCAAATCCTGGAACAAAATGGATTGTTTTATAAGCAGAGATTGAGAAAATGAAAACCTTAATTTTTAATTAATTTTAAAAGAGCCACCTGAAGTATTGTGTAATGCCATAAGTTACAGTACAGATACTGTGTAGGAAGTAGCATTTTTTTTCAAAATGCTGTTTGCTAAGAAAACACATACTACCAAAAAAAAAGAAAAAAAAAAATCCCGAAACCAACCACATGAGAAAACCCACTAAACCCAAAGAAAGAAAAGGCTCACATTCACAATAATTAGAGGCAAAAGGAGAAGACACATGCTTTACACTGAGTGGGCACACACTTTGCTGGCCTCCTGAGAGCCCTAAAGACAATGTTTTGCCAGCTCAGTGCACTTGTTGTGGCAGTGTGTGCTCAAGTGCTTTTTCTCAGCTATTCCAACCTCATGGACCAGCCAAGAGGAAGGCACATGAAGCTCCCAAAATGACAGCACTCCAGCCAGAGGAGGTCTGACTGACTTTAGCAGCCCAAGCATCTCCTGAATTATGAGACTGTCCAGCTGGCTTCGAGCCACATTACCCTGGCTGTGCCTGGTTCCTGCTACTGTATCCATCTGCTCAGAGCAGGAGCACAGCATCCAAACACTGAGGAACATTGCCACAACACTCGATCTGAACTTGCAACTGTTGCACTAAACACAGAGGAACAAAAATTGGAACAGTTTAGCATGGCAAGCCCATTACCCAGCTCACAACTGCCTAAAAGGACATTAACTGAAAGAGTTTATCCATCAAATGCAAGTGTTCAGACTGTCTGACCTCCCGAACAGACAGAAGAAATAGCTGGCTGGAAAATGGACTTGAATAGTCCCACTTGTACCATAGGGGAAGAAAGAAGTTCCAGGGATATGCTCCAGATTTACTTTAGGCAGTGAAAATCTTACAGGTCTCTAGAGTGATTTGGACTGGGATCTAAATGAATACAAAATATTTGTGAAGCCAAGGACAGTTTTTCATAAGTAAAACTTCCTATCAATACCAGTCTTTGTGCAACCTTGTAAGGGAGGTTTCTTTTTTATTTTCTCAAGATTATCAGGGTTAAATCTCCTCCGAAAGGGACAGTTCCTGTGCTTTGAGTAACTGGCTGTCCCACCACAGCCAGTCAGTAGCAGGGCGTTTGGAAACATCATCTCCTTTTAGAGTTTGGTGAAAAATTCTGCATCCTTTTTCAAAACATGTTTAGAATGACATGTGCCTTAAAAATTACCCAGAAATTGTGATCTTTCTGCTTGTAAACACATTTTACCTAGGCCCTGCCTGCCTTAAGCGAGTCCTAACTTAACAGCCCATATTAATTGCTGCTGTCAAGAAAATCATGCATGAGAATGATAATTCTGAACTTGCAACTGTTGCACTAAACACAGAGGAGCAAAAATTGGTACAGTTTAGCATGGCAAGCCCATTACCCAGCTCACAACTGCCTAAAAGGACATTAACTGAAAGAGTTTATCCATCAAATGCAAGTGTTCAGACTGTCTGACCTCCCGAACAGACAGAAGAAATAGCTGGCTGGAAAATGGACTTGAATAGTCCCACTTGTACCATAGGGGAAGAAAGAAGTTCCAGGGATATGCTCCAGATTTACTTTAGGCAGTGAAAATCTTACAGGTCTCTAGAGTGATTTGGACTGGGATCTAAATGAATACAAAATATTTGTGAAGCCAAGGACAGTTTTTCATAAGTAAAACTTCCTATCAATACCAGTCTTTGTGCAACCTTGTAAGGGAGGTTTCTTTTTTATTTTCTCAAGATTATCAGGGTTAAATCTCCTCTGAAAGGGAAGTTCCTGTGCTTTGAGTAACTGTGTGTCCCACCACAGCCAGTCAGTAGCACGGCGTTTGGAAACATCATCTCCTTTTAGAGTTTGGTGAAAAATTCTGCATCCTTTTTCAAAACATGTTTAGAATGACATGTACCTTAAAAATTACCCAGAAATTGTGATCTTTCTGCTTGTAAACACATTTTACCTAGGCCCTGCCTGCCTTAAGCGAGTCCTAACTTAACAGCCCATATTAATTGCTGCTGTCAAGAAAATCATGCATGAGAATGAAGCTGGACATTTAGACCAAGTTTCTGAATTACTTCATTCTTTTTGTGTGTGTGTTAAGCCCAGCTGGCAACAATGTAGCAGCAAAATGACTGAAACCTGGCTCTGTTGTACTTGACCAGGAGCCTCTGAATAAAAAGGAGCCAAAGGCAGATGCAGAGGTAGCACAACTTCTGTTGCACCATTTTCAATGCAGCACAGCTTTGTCCTCAGGAGTCCTGAGGGATTCAGATGCACCCTCTCCTAAATGTATTCTATTGACAAAGGGTCGGAGAGAAATGTTTGCTGTCTGGATTTTCTCCTGTACACTGAGCTCACCTGAGATGAGGCAAATTAAAGGGTTGAAACCAGTTCTGTGATGGCTTCATGCAGCCATCAGCTCTTAATGAAATAAATGAATCCATGTTAAGCAATTGTAATTGAAGCATGAGGATTTTAATAAGCCACAGAGCAACAATCAAATGTGCCTGATCACATTTTTAAGATTGTACATTACCACAGAGACATGTTAGTATAGGGAAATGATAGATTTCTGTTTAGTTATAACTACATATTTTTCATAGTACCTGATAATATGAAAAGACCTGTTTGTTAAAAGCTCTTTAGTCCTCGATACCAAATAACCACTACAGCAGAACTGCAGTAGTGGGGCTTATTTGCAAATAATTTTGTTCTGTGTTTTTGAGAACCACCTTCTCCCATACTTTGTGGTAGTATTTTGCAATATAGTTTGTTGCTTCTATGGAAATCCATTCTTCAAACATTCACCTGTATTTTCCAAGAACATGCTCTTTGCCCTTTAGTGTCAGCTAGAGAGGAACATGATGAGCCAGTCAGTTCCCAAGAGGCACGAAGCCAAAAGTGAGATACTTGGGCTTGTTAAGGTTAAAGACAAACAAACATATCTGTTGTTTTAGTGTTTGCAAAGAAAACATTTTGTTCTGTCTAAATATCACCAGTGACCATGCTCTTTTCTGGATTTGGGCCAAAAGATTGCTCTAATGCCATCTAGGAGTGCTAGACCCAGGTCACCCTCATAAATCTCAAGTCATATCATAAATCAGCATCCTATCCCTCCCTTTTGTCACAGATGTGGCAGTCTTACTGAGTTAGAAGTCAGCTTCATAGTGTCATTCTGCCCATGAAAATACAGTTTTGTATTAAATTTATGTACAGATTTGCTAATGCTCAAAATGAATTTGTTCTGTTATGGAAAGCAAGTCTACTATAGGAGTGCTGCATGTAAGAGTCAGTAGAGGTTGACATACCTGGATTTGCATATGTTGGTAGCTCTGCCATATTTTAACAGCCTGGTTTTCTGACATCCTTGTATTTCATTATCACAGTCATTAATCCCTTTGTTACTGCAGAACAAAAGAAGATAAATATGTTACCATGACAACAATGAAACATCTTAATAATTAGCAGACCAATTAGCTGTCTTGGTGAAATGCTGTGACTCAGAACAGATACTAGGCACTGTGTAATTAGGACTTTGGCTTACTAGAGCAAAAGTGCTGCTGATTCCTACAGGGAACAGCCATACAAATATATTATTTTACTTAGTGACATCTCACAACAATTCAGTAGAGGATCTGAAGTGCATGAAGTCTGAAAATTTAAAAGAAAGCTCGTACCTTAGGAATCATAGATTTGGGGGTCTCATACATTGTTTTTGCTCGCATTAACCCAGGTTGTTAAAAATGCAAGAGAAGTTGAAGGAAAGAGAATTTGTCATGTACCTGCTTCTGCTCAAACTGATGTATAATCAGCTTCACTGTTTCCCCTGCAAAGGCAGTTTTAGCAACTGTTTATATACAACAGAGTTTGAACATTGTCCCCCACGATAGGGGCATTGAAACTGGATGATCTCCAAGGTCCTCTCTGACTCAAACTATTCTATGACTCCGTGATCCTGTGGGCATCTCAGTACAGCTGCAGGTGTGAGGAACATTCAGGAAGGCCTCTCTGCACAGGTTTCCTTAGCACTGACAGAAGCAGCAGTAACACAGGTCTGCCTGGACTTCATTAGGAGTCAAAGATACAAAAAAGATAGTCCCCAAACTGCTGCCTGCTCAGGAATTTACTGTGCTGCATTTTGGGTGGAGTTCAGCCCCTTCCCCATGTTTGGCACACCCATGAGTTCTTGTGCTTCTTGGAGGCAAAAGCACAAGAACAGCTGTGAAACTCCCTGAGGACAATATCCTACTTTTCTGACCAGTCAGGGCCTTTTCATTCCTCACTCCATTCCAATGTGGAAATTAGACACTACAAATTCAGGGAGTTTTAACATTCAAGAGAGAAGAAAATCTTTCAACTTGTCTGTCTGTAAAGAAAGAAAGGCCAAGTGTTTTACAGGAGGGGTGTACTGTTCATCTAAATTTCACATCCAAACACCTGGGGTTTTTTGAGCTACTTCAAGTCTAGACTATGTAGCTCTCCCTGCTCTGTTCTTGTGTTGAGCTTGGACTGCTCCCTGCACCTAGCAGGACTGAAACAGCTGAAAGGGGAAACATTCTTGTCTATTATTTAATAGCTGCAGATTACCCTCTTGTATCTCTGCTGAGCTGAACTGCAGCAGTTTTGTGCTTCTTGTCTTCTGCAACCTCTTCACTTACAGCAAAAATACAAATAATATCTATGAAATGAGTCCTGGTTGCTTTCAAATGGACAATTTGCATTTCTGTTTTAAAGAAAGAAACACACAGCTGTGACACCTCTTGTTTTCAGAACACAACACCACAGGGAACCCAAGCAATAAGGCAGGGCTAGGTGTGGCATTAATAAGCAATTGATTGCAAAAAGCAGAGGAAATTCTGACAATCGGATTGTTCTTCAATGGCAACTGAGTGTGCTCACAGGAGGAGGTGGTAAGCTTCTGCAGCACAGATTGTTGGGGTAGGGAAGTACCAAGGAAATGTGAAAATGCCTAAAAAATAAACTGTGTAGTGTAGTCATAATGGCATCTGCTGCTGATAAATGCTGTGAAGCTTTTTGTCCAGTGTTTTTATACTACTCTAAGGTTGTATGGCACACCAGGGTTTTGATTTCACTCAGTAGGAACAGCACAACTTTCCATTCAGATTCATGAGCCAAGATAAGCCCATAAGTACATATGTTTATGCAACATTGTAGTCAGAATTGCAAGGAATTTAACATATTGTTTCTTGCTAGTGGCACAGGAATCAGCTTTCTAATACACTGCATGGCAGACCATGAGAACAAAAGGAAACAAAAAAAGCAATGGCATAAAATTGTTGGCAAAATTCTGAAATGCATTACAAGCAGAGCAAAATATTCCCAATGCTTCTGGAGAAAGCAGCCTGCACCTCAGTGCAGCAGACACCAAGCAAGTGAATTTGAAATGTTGTAGGATGGCAAAGCACTATGCTGAAAACCTCCAGACACAGCTCTGCATTTCCCTTTCAGGTGCTTTTTACAGTCATCAGTGTGAAGGCTGGTAAATATTTAATTGGAAAACCACCATGGAATGCCTCCAAAAGACAGAGAGTACTGATGAAAATTCTGCAAGAGCTTTTTTTTTTTTTTCTCTGTGTGACCATACTTTACTCAGGCCCTAGCAAAGTGGGATCATGCAATGTTGGAACTGTCAACTTGCTCTGTGAAAGAATATGAATTCAATTTCAAATGCACAGACTGAAAGCAAAGTTATAAATATATTTATTTCTGGGACAGTGGGTGTCTCCTGGGCCAAGAAATGAATTCTGAATGATCATTTCCTCTCAAGGATGCTTGAACACTTGCAAAACACTGAAGGGGATATGGAGAGGACTATTTTTTAATTCTTTTATTCTTTTCACTAATTTGTTCTTATGTTTTCTATTGAGATGGTCTCTTCCCAGAGATAACCATGGCTTGTTTTTTGTGTGTCTGTGTCTGTGTCTGTGTCTGTGTGTGTGCAGGCACAATTCCTTCAGGAGGCACTTGCCAAGGCAGATGCAAGTGTCCAGTGTTGATTTTAACATGGGGACAGACCCGGTTTTGCAAAGGGGAGAGACCACAACCAGCATTGGGAGAATAAAACCAGAACTCTACAAACAGAAGTCTGTGGATTCTGATGGGCAACAAGAAGATGTGAAAACGTGTGGAAAACTTAACTTCACTCTCCGGTATGATTATGAGAATGAACTTCTGGCTGTCACAATTGTCAAAGCCTTAGATCTGCCTGCTAAAGACTTCACAGGAACATCCGACCCCTACGTTAAGATTTATCTGCTTCCAGACAGGAAAAAGAAATTTCAGACACGAGTTCACAGAAAGACATTAAATCCAGTCTTTGATGAAACCTTTCAGTTTCCTGTAGCCTATGATCAGCTCAGCAACAGGAAATTGCATTTCAGTGTTTATGATTTTGACAGATTTTCTAGACATGACATGATTGGGGAAGTTATTCTTGATAACCTTTTTGAAGTCTCAGATCTCTCCAGGGAAGCCAATGTATGGAAAGACATCCACTGTGCCACCACAGTAAGTAATGTTACAAAAGCATTAACATCATATTTTCATTTCTCTTTTGTAGTTTTTGGCAGTGTACCCTGTTTATCAGCAGAGTCCAAAATAAAAAGCATTTAACAAGAAGAGCTGTCAATATTTTCCTTTGAGCACAGAGAATAATGCTTGGGAAGATAAAAAATTTAATTACCAAAAAATCTTCTGGGAGCATACTGTCATCTTTATGGCTCACTGTGTGTATATAAATCATATTTATTAATTAAATGCTACATCATGAAAGTCATTCCTTAGCCAGAACTAATAACATTTTCCTGTTGGCAAAACATCTTGTCCTGCAAAGTGACCATCTATTAAGAAAAAGGGTCCATCCTATCCTGCTCTTTTTAGGAGATTTTCATAGGTTAGAAACCTTGGTAAGGAAAAGAGGCTGAAAATGCTTGAAGTGTAAAATGTTCTTTTCTGACTGCACTGTGCTTTGGGTCCCCAGTAGTTTTATCTGCATTGCTGATGGTTGCTAGAAAAACTCAAGAGGCACAAGCAAGAAGAATTAGGAAATAGAATTTTTTTTTTTTATTGTTGCAAGCAAGAAAAGGAGGTCTGTGCACAGGTGACAAGATGAATGATAGGCTACTAGAGAACAGCAGTCTCCAGATATTGCTTTATTAACCTTGAATTCCAAAACCAACCTCCCTAGTGGGCATTTGAAGGGGAAAAATCCCAGTTAAAATAGTGATGTGCAGGGTGTTTGTTTTGATTTTTGTTTCAGTTTCTTTTAAACTAGAATGCTATTTATGTAGAAGTTTTGCCATCCTTGGTTCTGTGGGTGTATCCAAACAGTGTGACTCATCCCAGGGCTGGATTCCCACACAGGGGTGAATGGAGGACAGACCAGTGCTACACATCAGTGACAGGAGCTTCACACTGTCCCTTCTCTGCAGCCAGAGACTCCCCATGCCTTTCTCACCAAAGGCTTTCATGATGTTCATACCTGCTAGGCAGGTCCAGGTCTGCGTGTGATTAGAAGGACAAGGAGCACTGATATGTCCTCACCAGTTTGAGCATGAGCACTGTGATCCCTGAGGAAAGAGAAATATCAGAGAGTGTCGAATAGTGGAGTCAATTTTGAAATGTGAATTCACAACAGTAGTTGCTTATTCCAAATGCTGGGCCTACCAAACTGCTCTGAACAGCCTTCAGCACACCTCCAGAAAGTTGGTTCTGTGTCTGCTTAGTTTGACCAACCATAGATTCAAGGTAAATTTAAGAATTGTGTTCTCAAGCTTAAAATTGAATCTGTGTTTAAGGTATTTGAATAATAATCCACATAACCATTTAAAAACATTTCTTCTAGCTTTGATAGCTTTGTGTTTTCTAGCTTTGTGTTTAATACCTTAGTAATTCCTTAAAAGCACTGGTCACTGGCAGCAGGTGTGACTATGAGATTTTTAAGTGATAACTAGAATGGTTTCAGCAAATAATAATCTCTGGACTGTTCATCACTGGTTTTGAGCAGATGGAAATGCCATACCAGATCATGCATTTGGGGTTGACATTAATACACATATGGATGAAAATGGTTGCTAAATTTGGCACTGTATCTTGAAGTTTCTTCTTCACTGAGGATTAAGTTTAAGACATGCGGATACCAAAGGCTTTCATGATGTTCATACCTGCTAGGCAGGTCCAGGTCTGCGTGTGATTAGAAGGACAAGGAGCACTGATATGTCCTCACCAGTTTGAGCATGAGCACTGTGATCCCTGAGGAAAGAGAAATATCAGAGAGTGTCGAATAGTGAATTCACAACAGTAGTTGCTTATTCCAAATGCTGGGCCTACCAAACTGCTCTGAACAGCCTTCAGCACACCTCCAGAAAGTTGGTTCTGTGTCTGCTTAGTTTGACCAACCATAGATTTAAGGTAAACTTAAGAATAGTGTTCTCAAGCTTAAAATTGAATCTGTGTTTAAGGTATTTGAATAATAATCCACATAACCATTTAAAAACATTTCTTCTAGCTTTGATAGCTTTGTGTTTTCTAGCTTTGTGTTTAATACCTTAGTAATTCCTTAAAAACACTGGTCACTGGCAAGCAGGTGTGTCTATGAGATTTTTAAGTGACAACTAGAATGGTTTCAGCAAATAATAATCTCTGGACTGTTCATCACTGGTTTTGAGCAGATGGAAATGCCATACCAGATCATGCATTTGGGGTTGACATTAATACACATATGGATGAAAATGGTTGCTAAATTTGGCACTGTATCCTGATTCAAGTTTCTTCCTCACTAAGGATTAAGGTTAAGACATGCAGTTTTAACACCCAACTCACTCTGCTGGTGTTTTCCTCTGTGTCAAGCTTAAAAGAAAACATGAGGGTTTTGGATTTCAGCCGTTCAGTCAGTATAAAGTGCCGCATGTGTTTGAAAAATAATAATCCACATAACCATTTAAAAACATTTCTTCTAGCTTTGATAGCTTTGTGTTTTCTAGCTTTGTGTTTAATACCTTAGTAATTCCTTAAAAGCACTGGTCACTGGCAGCAGGTGTGACTATGAGATTTTTAAGTGATAACTAGAATGGTTTCAGCAAATAATAATCTCTGGACTGTTCATCACTGGTTTTGAGCAGATGGAAATGCCATACCAGATCATGCATTTGGGGTTGACATTAATACACATATGGATGAAAATGGTTGCTAAATTTGGCACTGTATCTTGAAGTTTCTTCTTCACTGAGGATTAAGGTTAAGACATGCGGATTTAACACCCAACTCACTCTGCTGGTGTTTTCCTCTGTGTCAAGCTTAAAAGAAAACATGAGGGTTTTGGATTTCAGCCGTTCAGTCAGTATAAAGTGCCGCATGTGTTTGAAAAAGTTGTCTCTACTTAAACCATCAATAATGGGCATATAAAATTGAGATATATTCTAGTGCTGGGTAACCTCATCAGCTTTCACAAGCCTTACCCTATACTCAGAAAATTACATAAGAAACTGTCAACTGATTTTATTTCTGGAAACATTAAGCCTTCCCAGAAGATGTCCAGTAAGTGTATGTGCAATGTGCTGCCATGTGTTTTACTTGAGCTATTTTATGAAATAGGAATACAGGTTCCTAGTTTTGTCATTTCAGAAAGTGTAAGTTGAGAGAGCCAAACCTTCAAAGGAATAAACACTGTGAGATGTTAATCAGTGAGGACTCACTGTCTTAAACACCAGACATAAAGTTTACCAAAGTCACTAACCAGCAGTTAAATGACTAGTGTTGGCCAGAGTAAACTGAACTTTGATAAACCTTGAAAAATAAAGACTCGGTTCTACAATTGGTGGAAAATCATTCTAATCCAAGCAAATATGCTCTGGTGTTCATAAAGAGTCCTTGCAAACCAAGCAGGGTGTGTGAGTGGAAAAAGCCATACACACCCACTAGAGCCTAGGAACCAAGATGTCATTCTGCAAATATATTTCTCTCATGCTTTTACTTCTTCACCTGTGCTCTGTTTTGTTGTATGTTCTGAGAAGTTTTTTGTCTCTGTTCAGATGTGATTTCTACACCCAGTGGTCTGCTCATGCTGTTGCTAAATGACAGATGTGGAAAATAATACAAGTGATAGATTAAAGAATTAGTCCAAAACTTTAAAAAATCAGTGGAAGCAGCCTCTCCTCAGCTGACAATTGTTTATATCTCTTCCACAGTCAAGAATGTTCTACTCAGAAGATAAAATGAGGGTAAAACCAATTCCTATTACCAGTGTGAAAAGAGTCTAATCTTATGACACAAACTCTGCAGTCTTAGACACTACTAGAGAGATTTACAAGAAAATGAATTGCAACATTTTGCCTGTGAAGGAAATTACCACAGGAGATCAGGAGATTCTTTGTTATACAACAAGTCTTTGTCAGTAGCTAACATAATTTTTAAAAGATTTGCTTGTCCAGCTATAAGGAGTTTTTATTTGGTACAGGAAATACAGTCTGGGAAAATCAGACTGGATGGTTGCACTGAGTCCTTTTGGCTCTATACCCAATGACTCTGTGTGAATCTACAGTTTTAATACACTTTATTTGCTCCTAATAATAATTTGAAATTATTCTATGGAACTGGAGGATTGGCCTCCACACACACTCTCATTTTTATTCTTATTGTATTCAGATACTGATATTTATTCACATTTTGTAATTTGGGTTTTTACTTTCATTTCTTCATTCATACCATTGTTTCTCTGTTGTATTCTGTTGTTGTTATTTCTATATTAAAAACATACCATGTTATATAATATGCAGTAGCACTGTTTTAAGAGCTAAAGCATATTCCTTTCTTAAAGTTTGAATATTAATGTAAATTTATAGCAAAATCAGTAGTGTAGGAAAAGTATCTTAGATATATGATATATCCCCAAATTTTGCTTGAATAAGGAATCAAATTTTCAATTAAAAATCCATCATTTGCTTCTGTTCACCTGATTAATTAAAAAAAAAAAGAAATAAATCAAGAGTCAGATTTGGACTACCTGTGAAGGTTCTTCATTGTATTGGAATACTGTAATTCTCACTACACTTGAGAAAATTAATTCATAACATTACAGGCAAACAAAAAAAAAACCAAATGGATTGTTTAATCAACATATGAGGCTTCTGGTTTTGTCAAGTGCTTGTAAGTTTTGCATACATTTCTGAGCTTTTGTTACTATCAAAATATACTGCATACTTTAAAAAAAAGAAAGCTCTCCTTTTGGAATTGCTAACAAGCACTTCTAATAGTCAGTCACTTTAAATTTTCTAGGCAAGAAGTCCACTGCTTATGATCCAACAATTTCTGCATGTAAACGTTTATTAGGTTCCTATAATGCTTTTTAAAATTATCACCTGCTTTGGAAACTTCCTCTAATGCTGTTGCCTAAAAACATTGGCAAGTGACTGTCAGAAAGATATTTTTTTTCTGAAGGTATCCTGTGAGGTCTGTTAGAGTAGCCTATTATAGGAAACCATGCAACTGGGAAAAAAATTAAAGCTCAGAAT